ATCTTATTAGAGTTGCTTCAGTATGGGAAAATTGGTCAAGTTGTGCTCCGTGTATGAAAATATTCCTAATTCTAGCTTATACTAGTGATAATTATTGCAAATTGTTAATTCTTATACTTTTGAGGTGATACGTGAATACTAGCATATGCTGTAACGTAGAATTGTGAACCAACTTCTCGAAGTAATTTGCCAATTGTATGACATTGTCCATAACTCATGGCCTAGGGATCAAACTAGTATGCTTATATCACGTAAAGTAAATATATATATATATATATATATATATATATATATATATATATATATATATATATATTTACTTTTGAGGTGTTTGGCAAAGGTCTAGGTCGAGATTTAGGTCGAGTCCATCGGGCGGGCCGTGTAAAATAATTTGCCAAAAATTAATGGGCAAGTTATTTTAGTTAAATTTCAATATTTTTTTTCTTCGTAAATATTTTACAACCACCAAACTCCAAAATATATATTTCTGAAAAATATTTTACATCCAAACAAAAGGAGTCGTAATCACTTCAAATTCCTTAGATCACTAGCATGCTTTTGTTTTATAAAATGCCTATTAGAACCTATACTTGTTTTTGTGTATAATAGAGTTTGTACTATCTTATAATTCTTGATAATTTGATGATGATTATAATGAGCTAAAGCATGATCATATCATTCTCAACTCACCATGCGTTGTTGCATAGGGTGAGTGTGTTGATTTTCCATGTTTGTGGAAAAAGATTTTGAAAAACGGATATTGTGGAGCGTACCTCATATCCGGTGTGTGTGTTAAGCAACTCATAGGGGCACAAGGAGTTTACTCTGTGTGTGGTCGTGTTATCCGGGCCACAAAGAATATTGGGGAGCGTACCTCGCATCCGGTTGTGTTAGCACGATTTCGGTGTTTTGTAAGTGATGGACTACATGTGGAAGTTTGTGTGTGAGTTCATGGTGCATAAGCATGCATTCTAGTATGATGTCAAATGATTCTACCTTCATGGATTTCCATATGTTTAACATGATATGTGAATGTACTTCAATGAATGCAATTCTCGTAACTTGTTACCTTATGTGTGTTGAATTCAAATTCTAGCTTCTAGCATAATTTTTAACCATGTTCTCATTATGTGCTTATGTGATTATTTGGGTTTGACTCGCGGGGCAATAGGAAAATGTTAGTTAGCGACTTTATATTGAGCAATGTAAGCTTACTTGCTGACAAATTTCAAGTAATGGAAAGGAGGTGGAGGGTAGTCCACAAACACAAGCTTAAAGCAGCTTAGTGAAGCTTTTGGGATGTCCTTTTTGTCGTTGCTAGCATTTGTGCTTCTTTACCTTGTCAAACTTGTTCTGTGTGTATAGTGATGTTAAGTCTTGGGGTGGGGTTTAATGCTAGCTTGTACCATTTTGCTTCTTCAACCTCATTTTGGGAAGAAACATGTATATTTCATATTGTTTATTTTGCATCTTTGCTCCTTTTGAGAACTAGTATAAATTCGTATGTGTGGTATGTGAATGATGTACTTAAGGCCTTGTAGGCCAAGCATGTCCTATGTATATTTTGGGTGTTGTTTATGGACTTGTGGTTCATGGCATGATACTTGGTGTTTGGAATGATGTGAAGCAGGTGTTTTGAGTAGGGATCCAGTTCATTCCCTATCCTATGGATTTGGGTTGTGACAGCCTATATTTCGTTTGTCAAATTTTTCGTTATGGTGAATGGGCCCCTTCCGATTTTTTTAGTAGTTCTCAGGGCTTAAGACAGGGGGATCCTCTTTCCCCATTTTTGTTTATCATTGTTATGGAGGCTCTTAGCAGACTGTTGAGGAGGGCACTAGATCTGGATTTTATTAGTGGCTTCAGGGTGGGTAGGGATGTAACTCATTAGTTGGAGATCTCTCACTTACTGTTTGCGGATGCTGGTCTTTTGTGATGCTGATGTTTCCAAGCTCGGACATTTGAGATGCGCTCTGGTTTGTTTTCAGGCAGTATCTTGTCTGAAAGTTAATGTTGGAAAGAGTGTGTTTGTCCTTGTAGGATAGGTCCAGGATATCACTTTTCTTCTTGTTGTCCTCAGGGGCGAGGCTGGTTCTTTTCCAATTTCTTATTTGGATTTACCTCTAGGTGCTTCATCGAAGAGGGTAGGCGATTGGGATCCTATTATAGAGTGGTTTAAAAGAAGGTTGGCAGAGTGGGCGTAGTATCTGTCTAAGAGTGGGATAGTCACCCTTATGAAGAGTACATTGTCAAGTCTTCCTATATACTTTCTCCCCTCTTTTCAAATCCCAACCTCTATGGCAAGAAGGATTGAAAGAATTCAACGAAACTTCATTTGGGGTGGTCGGGGGGAGGAGTTCAAGTATTATCTTGTCCGCTGGGAGCAGGTGTGTAGGCCTATAAAGTTGGGTGGTTTGGGCATTAGGAGTTTGATCCCTTTTAATAAGGCTTTCCTAGGTAAGTGGTTGTGGAGATTCGGCGGTGATCGTCATTGGCCGTGGAGAAGGGTTGTTCTGAGCCTGTTCGGAGTTGAGAGAGGTGGGTGGTTCTCTTGTGTGGTTAGATCAGTTGGGGGTGTGGGTATTTAGAAGTTCATTGGGAAGGGTTGGAATGAATTTTCTAAACATATCAGATTCAGAGTTGGGGATGGCAGGGACATTTGGTTCTAAGAGGACTTATGGTGTGGCGATCATACACTATTCTATTTTCCCAGACTTTTCAAGATTGTTATTGATAGGCATGCCTTGGTTGCTGACTATTATCGGCTTAATAGCGGTACGTTCTCGTGGAATGTGAGTTTTTGACGACAGTTCAAAGATCGATGATGTGTTTGGTATTATGAATCTTTTGTACAGACAGGGGATGGATAGGTGTGGCCGTTTTGGGTGCCTTCTTCTCAAGGGAGGTTTGAAGTTCGTTCCTTGTTTTACTAACTCTCCGACTTCTCTGGTTCTAATTTTCCTGAAAAGTCAATTTGGCGTTCGAAGGTTCCGCTCAGAGTTGCTTTTTTTGTTTGGACTGGGGCAAGATTTTGACAATGGATAACTTAAGAAGAAGAAGACAGGTTAAAGTCAACTAGTGTTGCATGTGTAAGAGGGATAGGGAATCAGTGGATCACCTCGTCCTGCATTGTCATGTCACTCAAGACTCTTGGAACCTTTTTTTCGGTTTGTTCGGCATCCATTGGGTTATGCCTCGGTCTCCAAGGGATTTGATTTATGGTTGCAGAGGCTTCTTAGTGGCAGCCCACGCTCATGATTTTTGGAAGGCAGCCCCTTTTTGTGTTTGGTGGTGCATTTGGAAGGAGCGGAATAGAAGATCTTTGACGGGGAGGAATCTTCTATTGGGGCTTTGAAATTTATTACTATTAGTTCTCTTTTTTGTTGGGTGATGGGGAGAAATAGTAAATCTATAGAGGAGATTGTTGATTTTTTGGGATCCTTATTAGGGTGACAATTCGATTATCTCTCTTCTTGGGCTTGGACTTCATTTCTGGGCCAACTCCAAGCAGGTTGGATTGGAGCAAATGTAAACACAGGCCAAAGTAATGCCCCAACTTCAAAAAATGGTAATAAACCAACAGTCATATCGCAGGACAGCCCACATGTGAATCAGGTCATGAGTTTAGTACAAGTCAAAGCATTAATTGAAGATAGCCAAAGGAAGTTTCGTGAAGAAGCAAATAAGAAAGCAAAGGAGATTTTAGAAACAAACAAGTAAGCTCAGTATGACCTACAGGTGGTTCAGAAAGACGACACTGTAACAAAGGAGAAGAACGGGAGCTCAATCCTTCTAGCGAAAAATGGAAGAGATTTGCTCACCGAACAGACAGATTGGTGTGGATAGTTATAAGGGCCATTGGAGATCCAGTTCTACAGATCAATTGAGAGAGGAGCACAACAGCCAAAAGGAAAGTGGCTTCTACCGGTATCGATTCCGAAGAAAAAGTGAACAAAGAAACGAAGAGAAACGCAACTGATCATCCTACTCAAAGTTTGCTTTCGACCAGTTTAATGGATGACAAAATTGATTCTGTTTAATGGGTGGAGGAAACCAGCCCTAACTGGTCCCAAGTTGATCGACGAAAATTCTCTCTTGGAATTGTCACCCTGACAATTCAACAGCTTAAAAGGCTTAAGCAAGCCCATTCCCCCCAGATCCTACTTTTGATGGAGACAATCAATTCAAAGCCTTGGATCGAGTAAAGAGACAATTAGGTTTATCGCCTGTTTTGTGTAGACCCAGTGGGTTTAGCAGGTGGGTTAGCTCTCGTGTGGAAAGCTGAGGTGAGTGCGACTATTAACAAATTTAAAGAATTCTGTATTTTAGCTTCAGTGACTGATGATGCTAAGAATCTGAATTGGGTATTGGGTTAAATTTATGCCTCTCTGACTGATTCATGTTGTATGGTGCAAACAGACTACATCAAAACAGCCTTATCAGCGGAGGATAGTAGGCGTCTCATTGTGGGAGATTTCAATGATATAATGAAAACATGGGTGGCAGATTCAGACCTCAATGGTCCCTAAGAGCTTTCAATAGATTTATTGGAGAATGTCAGTTGATGGAATTAGGCTTCAGAGTATATCCATTTACCTAGAACAACTATAGATCTAGAGAAGATAATATTAGAGAAAAAACTTGATCGGGCTTTGGGAGACTGTGTGGATGGGATGTTATTAAAAAACAATTTTTCATCACGATCAAATCCTAGGGTCAAATCACATGGCTCACCTAATTGACACTGAAGGTCAGAGAAGAACAACGAAGAAAAGTTTTATATTTTATGCCAGATGGACTGAAGATGCAGTGTGATTTAGGAGTGAACGGAGGAACAAAGTTCAGGACTGAAGATGCAGTGTGTAAATCTGTACTGAATCTTGTTTTATTATACTTCACTTTAATGACTACCTTAAATGTTAATTAACTAATCAAACACTATGCATTATTAGAAGGAAAACTATTAGAATGACTCTCTCTCAATGGTATACAGTGTATACCTTGATGGTCTGCCACTACGACTACGTCCTCCTGGCGCATGTCAAATGCACTAGCAGCTGATACAAAGAAAATAAAACTTTTTTAGTTTTAGTTCATGCTAAACGAACGTAATATCTACATATATCATTAGATATACATACCTAGCATGAGCGAATCGTTCATGCTGCTGCCCATCTGAAGAGCTCCGGAGTTTCTGGTTGCTGAACCAGAAATGATTTGATAATCCAAGGAAGGTATGGAAGCAATCATGTATAGTAGAATAACAACATGAGCTAGAAGAGCACAAAAGAATTTCAAAATCAATCATGAAATTAACAATAAAATCATGAATTTTCACTACAAGAACCCAACAGAATACGAGATTCTATTAAAATATAGAAATAAACCACCCCTATACAGTATATATATATATATATAAGTAGCATGCTATCGTATGCAGCCTGGTTAGCTCCATCTGACTACCACACAGCTTAGGTTGCTATCGTGGGTATTTATCCTAGCCTATGAAAGCCATCTTTGAATTAGGGTTTGCGGGTGCACTGGGTCTAAGCCCTTCCCATCAGACTTCTCTCTCTCTCGTTCTTTGCATCTATCAATCTCTTTTTATCTTTCGGTGATGAGGATCATGAAACGTTTTCCATCCTCTTCTTTCTGTTCATTGTCTCTCACAGATCCCCAACTCAACCGGCCGTCACCGGTGGTGCAACAACACACACAAGGTAGCGTACAAACTGCATACCCAGATGGAAATATTTGTGTACAACAAGGTAACATTAATTCTCAGCCGTCCGATCAGCCTCTCCCACCGTCACGGCTGATGATCGGAAGTGGATGGTCCAGATGGCCCTCCTATCAGGAGGTGAAGCAACAGGTGCGTTTCATTTGGTTTGGTTTGGTTGGTGAAAGTACCATGTATTATTCTTTTGCTAGCTTGTGTGTGTCAAGTGCACAACAATATTTCAATGTTACCCAAACAGGCCTTATATATGTAACTAATTCCCCATGCTAAATCTGCACCCACAAGGATTGCATTAGATATATACAACTATAGATGATGTATTTAGATCTTATGTTAGCTTTGATTTTGCAGGTGGACATGGAAGGTAGCGAAGAGGTTAATAACGGGTCGTCGGGTCATAAGCGGGTCACACCGCGACCCGGCACCATAATTTATATCAATTCACAAGGTTCTCATGACCTGAATTCCTATTTCACACATATGGTAATCCAGAGCAAAGTAAATATTCAAGAATAGAAAATATCAGCCCTTTTTTACATTGTAGCATCATGAATTGTTTCCTTGCGTACTATGTTAAAATTTTCAATATTACTCTTAGAAAGGAATTGGAATGTTCAGTCAACTAAAATATTATCCAATCTAATTATTTCCATCTAATATTCTTGACTCACATATACTCGTACAACTACAAAATTATGCTCCTCCTTGATTTATTAAACCTATGTTAGTAATTGCCATCAAGAACTCAAGATGGACAAGAAGAAACTCCTACACAATCCAGTGGCTTTGTTATAACCCTAAGGTTCGAGGAACTTCGTAGCAGAATCACCAAGCCCGGACAAACATTAATATTAACATAGTTAAACAAACTCCTTGAAGACACCAATGCACTGCCCAATTGTCTAGTCTAGAGAGGCTTAAACAACTTACAGTTTAGGGCCTTATATTTGTTTTTTTTTTTACTTTCATTGCTTGTAAATTTGTCCAGTTTAATAATTACCAATTAACCTAGTGACTTTTACATACATTTTTATTTCAAAGCTTGTGGCTTTGAGCGGTCTAATGATATTAATTATCCTCGCGAATTTTACATAATTTCTATGATTTTTTTTATTCTTCCCAACATTACTGTACATTTAGCTTCAACAATCTTACTGAGTCACAATTGAGACAGGGTCAGACAAACCTAGTTTAGAAGATTTTCCAAACTAGACAGATTCCAATACACTTTCTTAACTCGAAGTATTAAATTGTGTCTTCTCTCTCAGTTTTTTTAATAAGTAATGTCTCAATTAAGAAGCACTCAAAAGGGAAGCAGGCCCAAAGAGCAACTAAACAAAAGGCCTACAGCCTACTATACTGGTAATCTATCAACAAATCTTTCTATACAGATTACAGGCCTATCGCGACTGCTCAGATGGGTTCTTATCCGTTCAAGCAAGGACGGTTGAAAAAAAAATCCAACGGGTCAAATCGAACGGGTCGTAGGGTCACAACGCGACCCAGTACCAAATTCGGGCCATAATATCACAATAATAATAATAAACAATAAAATAAAATAAGAAAGGAAAATAAAATATGAACCTGTTGATTAGGTCAAGTTCGTAATATGACCTAGTGATTAGGTTGTGGTCTTAAGCCATGACCCCATGGCTTGGACGCCCCATTCTTTCTTTCTTGGTCATGTCCAGGATACGCGATCATATTCAACATTACTAAAATAATTGCATGCTGGCCAAGTTGTATCTGGGATACATGATCATATTCAACATTACCAATAGAGGGAGACACAAACATACACTGATACACAGACACCACTTGATACACAGGTCCAATTACCATCCATTATATACAGAGACGGATACACACCAAATACCAACCCTACACAGAGACACCAATTTTCTAGATCCAAAGCCACGAACAGACCAATGATCCACTACACACCAATTATGATGTAGGACAAGAGAGCAGCCTTAAATAGCTAAGAACTCAAAGAATTCAGAGGCTGAAAGTCCAAAGAACTAGGGCTGAAATTTGGAGCTTTGGTAGTAGAAATGTAGAAAAACAAAAGAGGAGTGGCTGCAAATTCAAATAAACAGATTGCTAGAGAAAAAGGATTGAAAACAACAAAAACCTATGGAATCACACCAATAGGGCCTAGGCATCACACCTAGAGAAGGCCTCACACCCTCATAATTTGTGAATCACTCACAAAATCTCAAAGATATTTTTATTCATTCATTGACTGAGTAATAAGAATTACATAGTATTCTTTATATAAAAATAAATAAATAAAATAAAAAAACTAATGACCATTGGATTACCCTACAATGGAGGTAATCAAAAGTTAACTCTAGCTTAATAAAGTAACAAATAACTTAATTTATGCAATTTAATCTAATTGATACAATTTACCAAAACAATGCAACTTCACCATAATTGATGCAATTACCAAAATAATGCAATTTGACCAAACCTCCCTAATTATGCAAGACTCCAAGTAGAACCCCCCATCGTCTAGCATGTGCCAAATTAAGGTTTGAGCCTTGGAACATTCCTTTTTGTGCCTTTTGTATATCCTTAAAGATGTTTTCCATTGATCTTTATCAAATTACCAACGGAAATATATACTACAGACAAGAGGCACCAATCAGCAACCTTAGTGCGTGGGCAATAGCCTCCAAGCATCCAAAAAGAGCCGAAATTCTGTCCAGAAGCCTCTAAAAATTGAGACAGTTTTGTTCAAAGATGCTTTTGCCTGACTAAATCCTACAGTTCCCATGGAAAGAGGACAGAATCATTTACATTATACATCGACCTTCAAAATCTGAGTATTACTAATCAGGTATGTATGTTCTTTAGACTTCAAATTCCAATACATTAATAAGTTATGTAAATTTAAAATATATACTAATAGAAATTAATGAGATTATATATTAATTGAATTGCAGTAAAATAGCCATTGATGAATTAATTTACTGTTTGCATATACAAATAATTTTAATTGCTCTTTAATTTACTATTTCTATGGCATTGTTCTTTAATTTATTCAATTAAATTGTCTTATGAGTGTGAGCCAACTCTACTTAATTAATTCCTTAAAGATGTTTAATTGTGCTTATGTTTATGTTTAAAGTTTTTTTAATAGAAGAGAGAGAAGATGCACTATGCTCAATAGTATGTCTTCAACTCTAAATTTCCTTCAATTCTAAGTGCTTTGACTTAATTTGAGTGCATCAACATATTATTAACATCATCAATCATCATCAATAGAGTCAATGTTGACATCAACATCCTCATCTATAATCGTCATCTAGAAACACGTAATCCTCTTGCATAGATATACATTTGATTAAGATAAACTGAAAATAGACTTCCTATCATAATTCGTCATTTTAAAACCAACATCACTACTACAACGGTAAGCGGATTTATACAATTCAGTTAGCTAGGCAAAAAAAACTTTACCTTTTTTTGCCAACTCCACCCATTCCCATCAACTCTCTTCTTTCAGAAAAGAGACCTACATTATTAGGACAAAAGAGGAAAAGTTTTAAAAGCGTTAATAAACTTGTAAAACATATATTCTGAAGTTGAAAACTAAACTTCCAAGTCTTTAATTCCCATTAATAAATTGTTCGAGCATCATATCATAATAATATTATATATATGTATGTAGAAACAAAAACAAAAACAAAAACAAAAAATCAGTATGTAAAACATGAATATATAAACGTAACCAATAGCTAAAATGCCAATTAAAATTTTAGAAAAAGTAAAGAGTTTGTTACCTGATGACTGAAGAGGCATGTTTCTTGAACCTTATTCTTGCTAAATGTTAAGGCCCGATGCTAACCCTAAAAATAAGAAAACACTCAAGTTGTGAGAAAGAGGTTTCACAATCTCACTCATAACAATTGAAACACCACCATCTAAGTACGATATGTATCATGTATCAACCCAACCCAACCCAACTATGCTTTCAGTCAAAATGTTGGACACCTATCCGTAGAAAGAGGGGTGATTACGGATAGGTGTGATTAGCACATATTACAATAACAAAGTACAATGCATCAGTTTAGGAATAATCTTCAAAATTAACAAATCAATATCCTCATATTCTGCATTCTAATAACAAAAGAAAATCAAAAACCAAAATTTGAAAATACAAAAATGGCAGAAAGATTGAATATATCCTTCATGCATTACACAGATTGTATTTCTATGTGAAAAAAAAAAAAAAAAAAAAAAAAAAAAAAAAAAAAAAAAAAAAAAACCTTCCAAGATTTCTCAATGGGATGGTCTAAATCAAAATATATCAACCAAAATCAACTGTTGTTTAATTCAATTTTAGTTAACTAACAATGTTTCTTTAGACAATTGACTGATTAAGGCATAGAAAATCCTATTTGGGTAATTAATAAAAAAAATTACCAATATATTTCTGAACAATTCACCACTCAGTACCCTATCTCTTCTTTTGACCAATTTACTAATCCTATTTGAGAATCTACTAGTGGAAGCAGAGTGTGAGGTAGTTCATGGCAAGCCCCTTCCAACACTATGGAATACACTCAAAAGCATGCTTTTTGTAAGTATTTTAATTTTCAAGAAGTAACTTTAGAGCTTTACCCTATATTAAGTACTTTTGCTTGTCAAAGTTCTTGTTATGATTTTTTTTTTTTAGTTCTGAAAAGATTTCCATCTTCAAAAAGCTTGGCATGTTGATAAATTTTGTTTCAGATTCAATCTCTGCAGATTTCTATTCAATTCAAATTCTTTTTTTTTTCTTTTTTCATGCCCAGATTCAAATTTTCTTGTAGGCATAATTGACAACAACAACAACAACAACAAAAAAAAAAAAACCATCCAGGATTTCTCAATGGGATGGTCTAAATCAAAATATATCAACCAAAATCAACTGTTGTTTAATTCAATTTTAGTTTACTAACAATGTTTCTTTAGGCAATTGACTGATTAAGGCATAGAAAATCCTATTTGGGTAATTAATAAAAAAAAAAATTACCAATATATTTCTGAACAATTCACCACTCAGTACCCTATCTCTTCTTTTGACCAATTTACTAATCCTATTTGAGAATCTACTAGTGGAAGCAGAGTGTGAGGTAGTTCATGGCAAGCCCCTTCCAACACTATGGAATACACTCAAAAGCATGCTTTTTGTAAGTATTTTAATTTTCAAGAAGTAACTTTAGAGCTTTACCCTATATTAAGTATTTTGCTTGTCAGAGTTCTTGTTATGATTTTTTTTTTTTAGTTCTGAAAAGATTTCCATCTTCAAAAAGCTTGGCATGTTGATAAAATTTGTTTCAGATTCAATCTCTGCAGATTTCTATTCAATTCAGATTCTTTTTTTTTTTTTTTTTTTTCTTTTTTCATGCCCAGATTCAAATTTTCTTGTAGACATAATTGACAACAACAACAACAACAACAACAAAAAAGTTATAGAAAAAAATATGTATATATTTGTTTTGCTGAAATAAAATGTAGATTATGGTGATTACCTCAAAATGCAATGCAAATTTTGTTACTTTATATTGTAAAAATATATATACATAAAAAATAAAAATAAAAAGATCATAAAAAATTTCACCAAATAGGATTTAGTTTGCAAAACAAGAATTACAGAGCTTGATTAGTTGATTTAGAAAAAAAATTAAAACAAAACCCATACATACAAGTTAGCAGTTGCAGAGAGAGAGGGCCGAGGGGGGCAAGCTTGAGAGTTGAGAGACAGCGGCTGAAGCTTGCGAACGGCGAACCCGGACTCGAACAGCGGGCGATGGAAACTGAAAGATATGGGTTTCGATTTTTTGAACAATCTGAAATGATATGCCGATAAGGGTTTTGATATAGGTAATAGGTTTTGAACTTTTGATTCTTGCAGACAGATAGATAAACTGAAATATATGGGTTTTGAACTTCTGTTTCTTGTAGATTTTGTAGTTTGCAGTTGCAGAGAGAGAGAGAGAGAGAGAGAGAGAGAGAGAGGGCAAGTTCAGAGTTGAGAACGAGAATAGAGATGAGGCGATTGGGGGAGGCTGAAATGAGTTGCCCTAAAAAAAAAAAATTCTGGTATGGGCCTATAAATTTTGAGGCCCCAGGGACCGCCTTTGTTGACTTGGGCTTTCTTGCTTGGGCCTTTATTTTGTTATGGTGGCTGAGTTGATTTGGGCATGATTGGTTGGGTTAGTTCAACTGTGCGGTTTTTAAATTTTGGTAAAATTTTCTTATCGGTGTAATTTTCAAACTTTTTTAAAATTAGTTGTGGTTTAACATCTACCAAATTCAACTTAGGATAACTTAGAAAATCCAAGTCCCTCTCCCAAATCCTTAAACATAAGCCGTACATAGATTTTAAATTTTACATGTCATTTTGAATTCAATTTAAGATAAGTTAGAGAATATTTAACTTAAAGAATCCAAGTCCCTCTCCTAAATCCCTAAAAATAAGAATTATGTGACTTATAAGCGCCAACTCTTTAGACTTTTTGTGAGAGAGCGCTCAAAATAGCTTTACTCATATGGATTAGAGTAAAGATAATACCTTTTAGTTAAGACTAAATATTGGCAGGTGGAGATAAATTCATGATTTTGAAAGATTATTAATATTTTTTCCCTCATTGATTGTAATTTCTGAAATGTTTTTAACTCTTTTTCTGCAAGTTTATTTAATAATTTGCACCTTCATGTGTTTTCTTTAATTATCTTTCTCAACAAGTACCCATTTCAGTCTTCAAAAATTAAAAGTGTGTTTAGTAACGAGAAACGTTTTTTGTTTTCTGTTATCAATCTCTAAAAAGGTAAAATGAAAAAAATCGCGTTCAATAAAATATTTTTATTTTTCTATAACAAAAATCATTTTCAATTTTTCTAAAGAAAGGACGAAACATAAAAAGGATACTTCCTATGTTTTCGACACTGTAGCGCAGAAACGTTTTCACTAATGTTACTACACATGCACTATTCATTTCAAATTAAATTCATATTATTTGTGTTATATAGTAAGTTGTATGTTAAATGTTAATAAAAAAATATATTTTAAACAGAGAATATATTAAATATTGTATATTATTTTTTATTTGATAAAAATATATTTTAATATAAAATATATTAAATAATAATGTAAATTATTTTTTGTGACAAAATAATTTTTGATATAGAATATAATATTATTAAATTATTAAGTAGTAGATATTTTATATTATTATATATCATATCTGTATTATATAATATGTAAATATTAAATTATAATTAATTTACAATATTATAACACAATATATATATATATATATATATATATTTATTACATATAAGATATATTATTTAATATTTTTTATTCATAACAAATTATCATATGCAAAATATATTATATATCACATAATAAATGTATACATTATGCATATACATGTATTTATATATATAATTGGTGAGAATGATTTTGTCTTGGTATATCTAATTTTGTACTTGTGATGTATTGGGTATTTTTAAGATTTATAATTTTAAATTAGATTTTTTTAGATTTTTGACTTTTTAATACTAATGGAAGCAAGTGTTGTGAGTTGCTTCTTATGTCCAAAAGTTCGTATTCAAGTCATCTACCCTCCCCTCATCTCTAATCACTAATTCCTAAAATTATTGTCATCAAAAAATTAATAAAAAAATAATAAAAAATTTAAAAAATATTAGTACATTTGTAACAAATATATATATATTGTATTACTAAACACTATTATTGTTTGATGTTTTCAAATTTGTGATAACAACAAGGGTTAATAAATATCATTTTTACTTTTTATTTTTGTTTAAAAAAGTAAAATCATGTTTTTGTTTTTTTAAGACTACAAAAACAAAAAAATAAAAACGTTACTAGGCGGTAATAAATTATGATAAAAGTGCAAACAAAAACAGACTTACTTTTATCAGTCCACACAATCCAACGTTGAAGTTGTTATATGATGATAATGAAACACATTTCCCACAACAACAAAAAATTAAAATTAAAAAAAAAAAAAAAAAAAAAAAAAAAAAAAAAAAAAACAATTGAACCAATTTCAACCTAATGATTAAAGTAACCCGTACACTGATCAATACTGAAAAATAGTGACAAATATGCATAGTTTTTTTATAACACAAAAGTGATGATTATGCACCACATTTCCCACAACAACAAAAAATAAAAAAATAAAAATTTGAACCATGTTCAACCTAATGATTAAAGTAACCCGTACACTGATCAATACTGGAAAATAGTGACAAATATGCATAGTTTTTTATAACACAAAAGTGATCAAATACAAATCACAATTAAGGAATACTAGAAAATCACTGAAGAATTTCAAGCTCAACTGCACATTTATATCACCGGGTCCACACAACCCGTGTCATTCTGCAACTACTGATGCCATATCTTCTGCATCATGTACAGGGGGAAAAAATGACATTTTAGCTTCATTACACGAAAAGAGGGAGAAAAAACCGACCAAATACACACACACACACAGTTGAAAATGGAACTACATAATGATCTATAACTTTCGTTTATGTCACTGCATATAGTTCCGCTCAATTTGAATGGATTAGAAACAGTAAAATACATGTAAGAAGTAAAAGCTTTTCAACAATCTTATAATAAAGGGGAAGGGGTATAAAGCTCGAGTGGGTGGATGGGAAAAATCCGGAGCGCGAAAGCAATGATCACCCAAACTCAACCAAAACCTCAAGAATTTTCTTAGACTCCTTCAATCAATCAGAACCTAGATTCAACCGGTTAAAATCTAAGAAATGAGAAGAAACCATTTTTAGAAAATGGTACCTATTTGCACATCTTGTAATAAATGTGATTAAATTTAAAAAGTAACATATCATTTCATTTTTCAAGAAGGAAAAATCAAGAACTAAAATAATTCCTAATTTAAGTTTTTTATTTTTTGGGTAAATTCGAATGAAATTTTTCAAAAACACCCATTTTCCAAATCATAGATTTTATACAAAAGACCACAACAGAGGATATCATCCCCGCCATTCAAAACTCATACGTAATTCCTCTAGTGAGTCTAGTTCGTGCAACTGCTGCATATTTGGAAGGTCCATTTGTTCCTTGATCTCCTTTGATGAATCCTTAGGATTGTAACCAGAGGACATCATCCCAACCTCTCTTCTTCTGTTGCTAGTGTTCATGACCAATTCCCCAGTAACCTTTTTTCTTTTCTTTTTTTTTTTTTTTTTTTTGGCGCCAAAGCAAACTTGTGTTTGATGGGCCTTATATGTGTTTTTTTGCAACCTGTTTCAGATAATAAAGTATAAGGGCAGATAATGTAAAATATTGAATGCTTAATATATATATATATATATGAGTCGGTGTGATATTGCAATTTCTAAACTATTGTTTCTTTTTACAATAAATTCTTCTGTTGTTTGAGAATTTTTTGCGGTAAAGCCCTAGTCTTTGCATCAGATTGTACCAACCAATCTGCAAATTAACATCAGCAAAGTTGTATATCAAGATCGATACAGATCTCAAGTTGCTGCTTGCAGACATTGCTCCTCCAAGCCACCAAAAACTCTTTCTAGAAACTTCTCAACAATTGACACAAACTCTTCCACCCTTTCTTCTTGGGGCAGGTGGCCGCAGTTCTTAATTATTTCGAGGGAAGCTCCAGGTATGGCTCGTGAAAGTCTCTCCGAATTCCAAGAGGGGACAAGCCGGTCACTATCACCCGTGACAATCAGAACTGGGTTTGCATTAAAGAAAACAACAAAATTAGTACCACATTTTCACACATTCAACTTGATGGTCTAACCTATTGGTTGAATTGTATATGAAAGATAGCAAATTGGTGTCTTGTTCAATGGCTGAACATATGGACAACCTGAAGATTAGTGAAATTCTGAATATGGTAGTTCCAAGCTACATATGATAAGACTCAAACACAAGTTTTCCAGGCACACCACCTACAACTGGATAACTGAACTATTAGCGTGATGACTCTGTAGCCCGGACATCATATGTAGGCAAATGAAAAATTTCCTGATCTAAAAGCATTTTTTTTCTTATGACCAGTCAGCAAAAGATAGGTAAGAGACTTAAACTACCCTTTCCTAGGGAACTTTGAGGCTGAACTGCAACATAGACCAATTGATGAGTGAGGCCAGTCCTTATCCCCCATTTAGCACACGACATGACATGACGCGAAAAGTTAGGTCAATCACAGGAACTCTGAATAGAATTTCTCATTCTCTCATCCATTCTAACGCGGACTTATCTCACTTTTTAGTCTATTGAAATTTCAAATTGAGTATTATGTGTTTTTCCCCATTTTAGACAGATATCAAATGACACAAACAGAGAGTAGACATTATTACCTGGACATGAGATTTCACTGAGTCTTTTTACCAGTGGAGGCTTTGATTCAGAAGCAGAATCTGTAAGCAGTGCTGCTGTGTATTCCACAAGTGCGCTGTCCCAATCCTTGGTCCTCAATGGCTGCAATGATACCAATAAATGTGTACATTGTTTGTAAGAAATAGAATAAAAACCATCCAAGTTATTTTATTAACCAGTACTGAATTGTAGTATATAGAATCAAAGAAGGAATTAGAAAGACAAAGTCTAAAGACAAAGTACCTTTGTATAGCCATTTAAGACATTATCAGTGATTTGATTACCATCATACCATGAATTTCGAATGGCAGCTATACCAAATTTATCTATTACCATCCTTATCTGAGAACCATGTAAATAAGTCCTTGTCAGATCAGAATTATGATAGGTCATAGACCATTAAAATAAAGAATTATATTTTGATATATATGTTTTGGCAAACAAGAGATATCCAACATCAGCAAGCAAAAAATCTTTATCAATCTAATATTTATCAATCTTTAGCAAGCAGAAATTTATTACCAACATCACAGCAACGGCAGAGCGCAGAAGAGCAGATAAAGCTTTCTTATAGAGAGAGTTGACCATATCTACCATCCCTTTCACCAAACCCAATATTGCCTGTGCAATGAGTTTAGAGAACTCTGATAAAAATTTGCCAAGCCTGATAAATGGATTCCCATGAATTTTCGAATTGGAGCCATCTTCTTGGATCTCATTATCTGTTCCAAATTGACTTCCTCTGGCAACCTTACGTGCAGTGCGTGGCGCTATAATTGCTGGTGCAACAAGGACCAGGGCAGCAACACGCTCGGGTGCTTCAAAATATGTTTGAACTGCTACAATCGAACCAACTGAATGCCTGACATCTTAAGAATATTATTTAGGAAAAAACATGTTTAGACAGAATCTGCTTTCAAAACAGAGAAAAAAATCCAGGAGGAAAACCCCACTAAAACAGTTCACCAACTAAAACAGACACACAGATGAAGTCCAACTTCAAGGATGATCACCGCCATAGTTTGCATAGAAAGGCAGATGCAGATTGCATCCATACTAAGAGGTCCTAATAGTGACTTCCATAGGCTATGAAACTAGATGGCAACTTGTACAATGACAATGGATGTCGCGTTAAATTTCTATAGCCATCATGCTATAAGTGACCAAAAAGCCCCCCATAATAGTTTCCAATTCATGCTTGTTCACTCGATCTTACATTTCTACTATAAAATGCACATTCATCAATTCCCATTATTGTTATGAAATAATACTCCCCCCAAAGATGAGCTATGGAACAATAGAAATGGAGAAATGGAGAAATGTACATACCCAACGAGAATTGCCTTCTCAGCTGTTAAGAAGTTGATGAAGTGTAACGTAGCTAGCACAGAAAAAATGGTGGGGATGGGAGAAAATGAATGTTGTGAAGGCTTAAAAGGGAAGGGATGGATGGTTTTGACTCGTCTTGAGTTGGACGATGACTTCAAACTTCAACTTTTTCATGTGGAACGACTTTTCATAATAAGTCTTGATCACTTATGTTTAATGTAACCACATGATAGCTTGTAAAAACAATCAATTCTACCGATACAATTTTGTATTATGTAATAAAAATATATAAAAGTGAATTTATTTTTTGAAAAAAGCGAGAATATTAGTACATCTTCTGAATTTGAAAGATGTCAAATAGAAAATATGTGAGTGGAGGATAATGTTATGTGATAAGGTCACAACACCTCAATAACTAACGGAATATCTTCGAAAAATACACCTTTTTTTTTATTCAAAGTAAAAATATAAAAACAAATTTATTTGAGTAGTGCGCCAAAGAGATTCTTGTGGGAGTGTAAAAAACATAAGATAAGAGCATCCTTTTCCTCCTCTAGTGCTGTTTATATATCCAACTAGGGAGCAATGAAAAGGCAAGCACCTTAAAGTGCTTTAAAACATGCTTTTAATCACATATGGCGGTAAACCCATATATTATATAATATGTAGTTTTATAAGAATAAAAAGGCTAATTAATAATATAATAACATAAAGTTTTTTATTTTATTTATGGATATAATAAAATAAGGTGATGTCATTGCTTTTTGTCAATAAGTCAAAATAATACAAAAATGACACATCAAATTAAAGAATTTTCTATGCAAACGAGAATGGGATGACACCAAATGGGGTTTGTTACAGGAAGAGAAAATTGTTTTTCTTGTGAATAGAGTTACTTAGCAGCCTTTTCTTCCCTAAATTTAGAGTCAAAAGGGGGGCGTCATTTGTGATTCATATTTTTGCTTTTATTCGAAGATTTAAATGGTTGTAGGTATAGTTTACTTGAGTCAGTTGACACATGCCTATATTATTAGGATTTTGATTTATTTGGAGCCGCCATTGGCCGGGTTATGTTTTAATCAGTTTTGGAGTCTAATTTTAACCAAACAATATATATGAGTCAAACATAGCTTCAAGTTGCCACATTTACATCACCCCTTCCCAATTTTAAATTAAAAAATAAAAATAAAATTAAAGATACACATGATTCGAATTGCATGGATTTAATAATGTTTTAAAATCAATTCGATATGTAAGTTTGGCTAAGGGTCAGTTTGGCATACGCTTTGTTTTAGGTGTTTTATTTTTGGTTAAAACAGAAACAGTGTTTTTATTGTACTGAGTGCTTTGGAAAAAAAAAAAAATCAGAAGCACGTTGGGAACGATATTTTGCTGTAGAAATGTCGAGCTCGTGTTGCGTTATTGTTATGATTTTGGGTCATGAACTGTTGTGAAAACAAGAAAAAAATAATTTTTTTGTGTTTCGATTTTGGGCTACTGTTTACGAAGTATTTTAGCACTGTGTAAAATAAAACAAGACATCATCAAACATGTTTTTGTTGTCAAAATCAACATTGTAATAGGCCAAAAACAAAAACAACAGAAATAAAACGCATGTCAATAAAGGCAATCTATTAAAATGGTCATTGAAAATCTTCATGGGGAGAGTGAAACCACTAATCCAATACAATTCCACGCTAATAAATATCAAGTCTAAGACCGTAAGAAATGATATTCGTAATAGTTTAATTATTTGGTATAATTCAGTAGTTAAATGTGTAAAAGGACATGCTGCATTGTATCTATGTTGTGGGAAAACCAGTAATGGACCTGATGGAGGAGTTTCAAGAAGTTGTAATGGCTCTTTTATTGAAAGTTTACCAAATTTTTATGGGATTAATTCACACACTAATATTATATTTGATGACCACCAATTAATTGTTAGTTGAATCAGATTCAAAGCTCTTGGTTGAGTTCAATAAAAGTGGTGCTAATTTCCTTGGGCAGTTGAGTATTTATCACTGAAATTGAAGTAAACAACAAGATTATCAAAATCAACATTGTAATAACCCAAAAACATGCAAAAACAACAGAAATAAAACGCATGTCAAACGGGGCTTAAGTAAGCGTGCTATAGTAAGAGGAGTAATCTCTAGACTTGTACAGTAGCGTTTCTTGCTGCAGTTTGAACAACAGAAGGTGTCCCTCGTCTTGTATCCCTGAAACCACAAGTACTAGCAGAGGACCAAGAAACTACCTAACCCATACATATGTAGCAACCACAATAGTATTACTGAAACTAGATCTCAACAATTTTGGAAAAATTAAAACCGAACCAATCTAATCACAATTTCTAAACCCAATCAATTCGAACCATAATAATAGCCTATCTGGTTTAGATCGGATCAGTTTAGCGGTTTAATCTTTTGTGCTACAAAGCTTAAAAAAACAATGTAATCAGATGATGTGATGATGATAAGGAATGGGGGGGTGAAAATCACCTCCAGTGAATGGGGGCTAAAGGTTTAGAGTATGGGAATTTTTTAAAAGGTGTGGTATGGTCTATGGTAAACTTACATAGATAAATAGTAACTCTACGGCCTAGTTTGGCCTTCCTTAACCGTTGCCACTGCCACCGCCACCGCCTTCCATCACCACCACCATCACTTAAAATTGTGATTATTAAGTCATTCTAATATCATATTTCATATTTGCAATTAATAAGAGCCCGTTGATATGCGATGTGTTTTAGACATTATGTTTTTTATCAATACTAAAACAACCGTTTTGTTGTAAGAGTGTTTTGGATAGAAATCGAAACTATGATAACAAAATTTTGTTTTGGAAAATTCAAAAATTTGCTTTAATTCTTCCACTATAATATCAAAACACACAATATCACCAATTTGGTGATATAGGTTTTGTAACACCCCCAACATTTTCCACGCATAAGTTGATCAGGCTTATACACGAAAAATGAGGGATATCAAAACAATTGGCAATATACAAGCATGGAATACAAAATGATAATAATAAAAGAATTTAGACAGGAAAGGAACCCTAAATAATACAACATCCATCCATCCTTTATTTAATATAGTACTCCATTACAACTTGGAAATCCTATGTCAAGGATTCCTAAATAAACCTGAGAGTTCAACGTCAAAAGTAAATAAAAACTGAAACTGAAGTAATGCATAAAACTTCTACCCTGAACTGGATCGTAAGAGTAGATGAGTTCGGATGGTGGTCCCACACTGCTAACCTCAACCTTGGAACGGGTACTGACCGTATCCTAAAATAACAACAATGGTGGGTCAACCCCACGAGCAAGTCCTCTCTACTATGACCCAAATCAGATAATCAAATAAATTAATCATTTATATCCGGATGAGTACTATATCTGTATACATCCTAATGGAACTATCCAATGTATAACATGACCTCAACCAGAATAGACGGTGATCACTTAGACTCACACTAGGTGGTTAAGTGTCTCCTTTCCCTACCCGGGAAATCAGCTATTATACATGGTGCACGGTACTGACAACACAGACTGTAAAGACTACACAGTAATAACGCATCTTAATGTACTAATAAGTTACTGAGTATAACAATTAGGCAATACATGCCAATAATAATACTAAATATACTGAGTATGTTAATTAGGCAACACATGCCAATAATATTAAACCACATACCCCGACAGCCACACATCTGTCTATAGCAACGAATGCATAAGGTATAAATGAGTCTAAACTTATTAGCCAGCTCACATGGTTCTATATGGCAACACATCCATATAATATAAATGCAACATAATTTAAACAGTCCATTTATTCTCTGAAATGCACACAGCATAATAATCATGGTTGATATATGATTAACAGTATAAATATCCCATAATATCTAATGCATAATTTATATGACGATAACCGTGACATTATTAACAGTACTACTGAATACCATTTAATAAAATAATAACAGTATCTATAGTAATGTTGTTAAATGAATCACATTCATATCTGTACGGTAAACGGGTCAATTAAGGTTTAGAAATATTAATCGGCCATAATAATACTT